TGGTGACAGCCAGCATGGCTTCACTAAGGGGAAGTCCTGCCTGACCAATTTGGTGGCCTTTTATGATGGGGTTACAGAACTGATGGACAGCGGTAGAGCAGTTGATGTCATCTACCTGGATTTGTGTAAAGCGTTCGACACTGTCCCATACGACATCCTTGTCTCTAAATTGGAGACATCAATTTGATGAATGGACCACTCGGTGGGTAAAGAACTGGCTGGATGGCTCCACACAAAGAGTTGTGGTCAATGGCTCAATGTCCAGCTGGAGACCGGTAACAACTGGTGTCCCTCAGGGATTAGTGTTGGGACCGTCCTTGTTTAACATCTTCATCGCTGACATGGACTGTGGGATTGAGTGCGCCCTCAGCAAGTCTGCCAATGACACCAAGCTGTGTGTTTCGGTTGATACACTGGAGGGAAGGAATGCCATCCAGAGGGACCTTGACACGCTTCTGAGGTGGGCTGATGCCAGCCTCATTAAGTTTAACCATGCCAAGTGCAAGGTCCTACACCTGGGTCAGGGCAATCCCAGGCACAGCTACAGGCTGGGCAGAGAAGAGATTCAGAGCAGCCCTGCAGAGAAGAACTTGGAGGTGCTGGTCGATGAGAAAATGAACATGAGCCAGCAGTGTGCGCTTGCAGCCCAGAAAGCCAACTGTATCCTGGGCTGCATCAAAAGGAGAGTGACCAGCAGGTCGAAGGAGGTGATCCTGCCCCTTTATTCTGCTCTTGTGAGACCTCACTTGGAGTATTGTGTGCAGTTCTGGTGTCCTCAACATCAAAAGGACATGGAACTGTTGGAGCAAGTCTAGAGGTGGGCCATGAGAATGATCAGGGGACTGGAGCACCTCCCATATGAAGATCGGCTGAGAAGGTTGGGGCTGTTCAGCCTGGAGAAGAAAAGGCTGCGTGGAGACCTCATAGCAGCCTTCCAGTATCTGAAGGGGGCCTATAGAGATGCTGGGAATGGACTCTTCATTAGGGACTCTAGTGATAGGGCAAGGGGTAATGGGTTCAAACTTAAACAGGGGAAGTTTTGATTGGATATAAGGAGGAAATTCTTTCCTGTTAGGGCGGTGAGGCACTGGAATGGGTTGCCCAGGGAGGTTGTGAATGCTCCATCCCTGGCAGTGTTCAAGGTCAGGTTGGACGAGGCCTTGGGTGATATGGTTTAGAGCGAGGTGTCCCTGCTCACGGCAGGGGGGTTGGAACTTGATGATCTTAAGGTCCTTTCCAACCCTAACAATTCTATGATTCTATGATTCTAAGACACTAACCCTCTTCAGATCCACCCACAGCAGTGCCACCAGGAGCCCCCAGTGATATGGCTGGGGCAGGAGGCAGTGACAGCTGATGCACAATAACAGCTGTAGTGTGGGGGCTCTTTGCTCTTGATAGGTGGTGGTAATCATGCTCCATGAACCAGAAATGCACTTGAAAGTTTCTTTTTTTACTATAATTTAAAACCTTAAATAATGTAGGGACTGTCTTAGTTGCATAAGGTCAACTGATATTGATGGAAAAGGAGATGACTGTGACAGAAGCAATACAAAGAAGATGGGCACAAAGCCTTGTCCATTAATAGCCAGTGACTCAGCAGTCCTTCCTGCCTCAATGACTGCACTTGGACAGCAGGGACAGGACCTCCAGCCTCCCTCAGTACAACTGATGGTAAAACTCATTAACAGTAGTGTAACATTCTCTGTCCTTTGCACAAGGTACATGATATAGAGGGACAAGTTGAGTTTCCTGCCTGAGCTCAGGTAACTAGTTTACTAAATATTATTCAATGGACCTGCTTTCCTGGAGGCTCTCTTGGCTTCAGAAACAGAAAAAGAACATGCAGGTGTCTCATGATCTGAACATACAGTCTCTGAGCATGTTGAGCTAGATTAAGGCTTTCCAAAGATTGGAAATCAGTCTTCCTGCTGGTGATGCACACAGCCTGCTAAAGAAGCCTCAGTCACAGAGCATCTCTCAATAGCTGTCCTTCTTGTACTTGCAGAAGTGGAAACTGCTGAGGCAGCTGCTACCTCAGGAGTGGTGATACCAAAGGAAATTTTATTTGGAAGACCTGCATTATAGGAAACAAAATATTTTTTTCTCCCACCATTTTCTTGTCTGTGCTCCTTCACAGTACTGTACACCTGTGGACGTTTTATATGTAGTGGAACCAGCAGGTCTATTCCTGAGCATAGGCACAGGCTGTGTGGTTTAACTTCAACTACTAATATAGTAGACAATAAAAAGGTTGCTGAAGTCTGAACTGTTCTGACTTTCAAAGATAAACATCAGAAGTAAGAACGATCTGATTAATATGCTGCCTTGATTGTTTTTTCATTGCATTCCAGCTCTTTTGTTTCCCATTTTGAACATAAAGATGATGAAGGGATTGAAGCATCTCTCACATGACAAAGGGCTGAGAGAGCTGGGACTGCTCAGCTTGGAAAAAAAAGACTCACGGGAATCTTATTCATGTGTATAAATGCCTCATGGGTAGGAATGAAGAGAGAGACAGATTCTTACCAGTGGTGCCTAGAGACAAGACAAAACACAATAGGCAAAAACTAAAAACCATTATGCTTCATCTGAACAGGAAAACACTGTTGTACTGTGAGGCTGGTCAAACACATTGCCCTTAGAGGTAGCGAGTCTCCATGCTTGAAGATATTCAAAACCTGAATGGACATGGTTCAGGGCAATCTGCTTCAGCTGACTGTGCTTGAACAGGGGGAGTTGTATGGGGTGGTCTCAAGAGCTCTCTTCCAATTTCAACCATTCTGTATGACTCTGTACAAAACAGGAAAAATGACTAGTGTGCTTTATGATTAGACACAAGCCTAGTAACTCAATTCAAATATGCATTTCTGGTACTCGAAAGGTTACCGTATTTCTTTTACGAGATGCAGAATATCTCATCAACATTCTGAGGAAGGATGCAGACTAATAGTGAAAACCACCATGCACAGGAATGTCTGGCCATTTGCTTGCCACACATTTCACAGCTACTTGCACTCAGGCAGCTACTGCTTTTGTCTTCAAGAGCAACAAAGCTCTATATATGCTGCTGAAGTAGTTTCTGTTACCAGTCTTGTTTCCCTTTTCTTGACTAAAAACCTAACATAGAAGTGTAGAAAAATAAGCTCTTCTTTTCTATGTATAGTGGATGTGCCAGAGTCAGAATTTGAGCATTTTGTTCTCATCTCTGCATATGAGTTTAACTCCAGTAATCTGCAGGTTTTAAAATCCAAGCTCATATTAGTAGTTACAACTGCAGTTTACTTATACTGGAATGTTAAATAGCAGTATAATATTTTTAACAGCATAATTCTTCTTTCCCCTCACAAGAACCAGACATTTAATAAATAATTCATTTCATGGGTATCCTAATGATATTATTTCTGAAGACAAAGGTCCAACTTCACTGTAGAAATAAAAGCTTGTTAGAAAAAAAGAAATATACAGTCTTGTCTGTCAAGAAAGAATATATATCTTGTCTTGGCAGCTTTTCCTGGATCTCCAGTCACAGACTCAAGTTCAGTATGATGAAAGTGGAGTTCAGTTTTCCTTTCCTTTTTGTCTCATTTCCTCCTACTCTTCATGAAAATGCTGCTGTCCTGTCTATTAATTAAAACACCAAGCCCTTTTTCAAACCTCTCTCTGTTCTTCTGTCTTTTACGTACGAACAACTGTTTCACCTCCCTTCGTTCCTTTTGGAAACAGCTCTTGACTATTCTGCCATTTCTCACTCTGCCTCTTGCAGCTTTCCTGTTTGGATGTCTCCATTTTGCAGCTCTTGGTGTTCTTTATTTTAATTGCAATACTGGGTTCCTATCACCCTGCATTACAGATATGTTCCAGAGACTTTGCCAGCCTCCCTTAGGCTCTTCCTGCCGACTCTGGGGTGCACTGCTGAAATTACTAATATTTTTGGCCATGAACTTTGAGGAGCCTGGGAGCTTGTATTCAACACCCTATTCTTGAAAGAAATTTCATGGCATGATCAAAATTTCCCTTTCATCTTCTGATCACAGCATGCTATCCTTTTCTGCAAATGTCTAAATGTATTTCCATGAGCAACCAACCAACCAACCAACCAACACCTGGACATGAATACAAAATAGAGGCTTTATGAAGATTAAAGGGGAAAATATAGTGACAAATGAGTCCTGATTCATTGCAGGAAGGCAAAAGAAAATAATCACAACCCATATTCGCTCAGTAAGAGACTTAAAGAATAAAGACAAGTTTGCTTGGCTTTGTCTGTCTTCACCTACTGAGTGAGATGTTAGTAAATTCCTGCATGCTATGGTGGGGTTTCAGCCAACGGCTGGCTTGTTTCTTCCAGAAGAGGGAAGCTTTGCTTTCTTTCCATAACACCTTCCTGGCCACACAGTCTCCCTATGCATTCTCTTGCACTTCCCCAAAACCCCTTTGATCTAAGAGTACCAAATAGACTTTTCCTTTTTTCCTAATTTATAGTTTTCTGTCAGGTCAGTGCACTGAATGAAGGATTCAGTAAAAACCAAAGCTCAAGCAAGACACCTCACGGGAATTTGTTCAGACCACAGAAGTGCAGCTGAAGAATCTCCTCTTTTTTATGACAGTACGATATGAGATCAGCTCCCCCCTTCTTATGAAATGGAAGCATGAGACTACTTGCAACAGCTAACACTGTACCTAAGAATACGCAATTGCAGCTTTGGCCTTGCAATCTGCAACTGTTCAACCCACTCCTGAGCACAGGGAGAAAGAGGCACAAAAATCTATAAATATTTATTATCTCACAGCTCCTTATCACTTAATTACCAGATATTGTGCTAATCCTTCCAAATCCATTTTCATTATATATAGAAAAGCTTCATCTAAATGTATGCAATCTGTACTTTTCATTATGGAGTTCCATCAAATGGCATATTTTTTAAGATTATTTCATTTAGAAAGAAAGATAAAGCACAGTGATAATTCCATCAGCTAACAATGTATTCCAGACATACCTGTGATCATACTTGATATGATTAACGGCAGAATGATAAGCTTGAGCATTCTCATCAGCACTTCCCCAGGAAAGGAAAAGTAGGATTTACCCAGGTTAGACATTTTGCCGTATTCCCGTACCAGCATGCCAACTCCAATACCTAAAAGGCACAAAAAGCTGTGGCACAAATCAGCAGTAATTTATAGTAGACACATGGGGGAAAAGGAGGAAAAATAGGAGAGAACATTATTAAAAAAAATATAAAGAGCAACAGACACATTTTTACAATAGTGAAACTTCTATAGCAAATTAGAGATGTTGCATTTTCTGTTCTATATATTAGTGATAGGCATAGTAATAACACATATAATTCTGAACTTGGAGGATGTCTGTAAGTATATTTTTGGAAAAACCTTGATAATGCCCTCTGATTATTGGTCAAGTCCAGCAGTGACTTTTTACCTGGTTTAATTTGCTCTAAAAGACCCACAACTGGAATTAAAAAAAAAAAAAAATAAAAAATATCAATACAATATATAAACACTATCAAACATTTTCAAAAGTGATACAATATAAATATTTTAGGTAATTTGTACTGGTGAAAATATGTCTACACAGCAGCAATGCTTTCACTATTTGCTGCTCTACATAATTACAAAAGTGTGTGACTATAACCACTAAATTAATTTAATAATTTCCAGGAACTTGATCAACAAAAATGCAGTCAGCATACTCATACTCATTACATTATGTGATCAATCTACGAAATACCAAACTGTAAGTTTAATCGCCGGTTGAGCCACAGCACAAGGCACTTTCATACTTCCTTTTACCTTTGGATTAAATGAATTATCAGACAGTTCTAGCTTCAAAGACAAGCCACAGACAAGATTTCTACTAAAAGAAAATAAACCATAGGCCAAAAGACAAACTTCTTCAGTTTGGCAGGCAATATCTTTATTTTACATTTCAACATGATTTTCAAATGAAAATCACTGGTATAGGAAATGTGTTCATCAGTGTTTAGAAAGCATTATGACTGTTGTTCCACATACAAACTCTGCAATGCTTCAGTCCAGGCTGAACTGAATATCAAGAGATAATATTTCAAACTGGATTGAGTGAGACGTGGCAAAGCAGAACCCTTTGTTACTCACTGAGTGCTTAAAGGTCTTACTCATACGAACAGCCTTACTTAAGCTAATAGAATTATTTACACTCTTTGTTATTTTAGTGGCATCAGTGGTGTGTATTTTACAGCAGAATTGTTACAACAGAACAAAAAGGTGATACCAGTCTACCTTTACCAGGCTCAGCGGTTCATGTAAACTTGTGGGGTCCTATGAAAGCTGCTAGTGCCCAAGCCAAATGCCCATCTTCCCCCAGTTTTATTTTTTATGCTATACAAGGCATTTGAGTTAGATGTTACTCAAGAAGCTGGTGTAAAGTTAGACTAAACAGGCTTACAGGATACATTCCTCATTCTACATGATTAAAGTTGTGGAAGCAGACATTTCCAGCAAGTTTAAAGATTTAGGCAAATCCACAGACATCTGGTTTGTACCACTGGTACTGAAGGGATCCAGTATCCAATTACCTACTGAACAAGAAACTCATTCTCTTCTAGAAACCAAGGATTTTGGAAAAAAATCACAGAAAAGTTTGGTTTGGAAGGGAGCTAATGATCACCTAGTTCCAACCCCCTGCCATGGGTAGGGACACCTTCTACTAGACCAGGTTGCTCCAAGCCCAGCCTAACCTGGCCTTCAACACTGCCAGGGATGAAGCATCCACAACTCCTCTGTGCAACCTGCTCCAGTGTCTCACCACCCTCATAGAAATCCTTCATAATGATTCATCATGCCTGTGGTTCACAGGCTATCTGGATGTTAGTTTGATGCAGAAATGTAAACTACTAGTTACCTTCACAGAACTTGCCTCTGAGAGCACAAAAAGATAACCACTTTTTTGTGTTCTATCTCCATTTGTAAAAACAGGCTGAAAGAAAATATAGAGGCAGATTATAAACTCCTACTATGTGCTTCCTGTTTTTATAATAAAGAGATTAAAAATGAGTAAGTTACCCTTTCAGGCAAATAGACTGCTCTAAGAATCTGTAACAATTTCTGATGTGTCATCTGTGCCAGTGAACTTGGACAGTTTAAATTTCTTGCAGCAATCTTGAATCTTAATAGCCTTGATGATATTTGCAATATTATGTAAACATGGTTGATTAGTGACTGATAAAACACAATGATGTCTGTTTCTAATCTAGTGGCTGAATTCAATGTGTTCAAAACAATTAGTCTGGACTTCAAGATAAGTCCAAGCAAGATAAAACTCTGTTTATAAAATGGTTACATGTATTGAAGTAAGTTGCTAAGGCTTTGATCCTGAAAAGACCATTGTAAATAGCTGAATCTAAGCATACAGATACCGATAATTCACGTTACAGTATAGGCATATACTTATGTTGCATCAAGACTAGACTGCATTAAAAGATGTGTAATGCCTCTTCACTTTGAGCAGGTGTGACTAGTAACCATGTGCCTTTCATTCCAGGTGGCAATTGTCCTGTTTGACCAGGTTGATCACGGAACAGGATTACTAGCAGGCAGAAGAATTCACTCTCATTTTCATTCTTCAGAGTTTTCCACTTCTTTAGATTTCACTACAAAAACTTCTCAAGATTTTAGCAGTGTCTCCTTACACTAATTACGTATTGTATTTGGGTTTTGGGAGATATTTTTGTTGGGGCTTTTGTTGTTGTTGTTGTTGATTTGCTTTGTTTTGTCTTTGTAAGGATATTATTTATCTAGTGGCAGCAACTGAGGAAAGAGGTCCTTGTTCCGACAATCTTCTTAAATTACATTATTGCTCTCACTACCTTGTTCATGCAATTCCTTTACCAGACAAAGCACTTATATCCATATTAGTTGTGTAGTTTTTCCAAAGAACCCTTACTAATAATTGTGTAGTATGACAAAATACAGTAAAATGCAGCCACTTTTTAATTTGAGCTAGCATCTAGCATGTCTGCTTGAACCTAGCATGGAAATGTAAGAAATTATATTTTGTAACAGTAATAAGAGAAGGTTAGCAAGTCAGCAGAACAAATTTGCAAATGTACTGGAAATGGACATATACAGAATTTTCTGATCCTCATGTCAATAACCAAGTTCAACTGGTATTTTCTTTCTGGGAATTATAATGCCCAGAAAGAAGTGTGGCTCAGCACACATTTCAGTGATCACCAGTGCTTTTAATATCACATGGATTACACTAGCCCTAAGTAAGTATATAGATGGAAGTCTTACAAAACATTAATTTCTCTATGTGAATGCTACTCATACTTCACAATTTCTGAAACTAATTCTTACATGAACTTCTAATTACAAAAACCCTGCAGTAGGCAAAGTCTCTACTATATATTGGGACTTTTCCTTTCTTTTAATTTCTCTTTTTCATTTATGGAATAATTAACTTCTACCTTTTTTTTTCTTTTTTTTTTTTTTACAGAGCAAAACATGACTTTTCCTGCTTGCCCTTTTCCTCTTTTTCTCGGTTTCAACCCCTCTACCTTTCTTCTTGTCCATGCTAAGTTGTTTTTCTTTCTTTTCCATCCCTTCTTGTTTTTCCTTCTTGCCCACATGGCTAAATTAGGTTATGAAATTTCACAAGAGCAATCCACTACTTACAGCTCAACAGCATGTACTAATTAAAGTCTGCAATACTGGGCAGAAGAGAAGAATGAAAGTGGAAAAAACAGTGCAATCCCATGACTTTAATTTTCTGAGGCAAATATGTCATTGCAACTGTGGAAACTACAACACACACTGTATAGCATAGTGTCTACATTTCCTCTCCTAGCAGCCACTGACACAGAAACCAAAACATGCAGTCTGGGTCCCTGGGATGGCAGTACGCGAAGAGGCCACAGTTCTCTTGTCTAAACCTGTATCAAGCACTCAATTCCTTGGCATTGCTCTCCCAGGTAGCACATAGCCTTTCTATAAGCTTGGTAACAGACAGAAGTCCTTCAAAGAAAGGCTGTAAACGGAGACTAAGATAATTGAGGGGTGAAGGTGAGAATAAAAACAAAGAAGAAAACTACTGGAAATAAGAACACCAAGAGAAATCTGTTGGCTATCTTTTATCTGGGACTATCTTTTAGGTAACCCCAAGAGTCACAGCCTAAAAAGCCACAGGGAATATATTTTTTGTTGCGTTACCCAGGGAGAGGGGACCAGGAAGTAGAATCACAGAATCAGATAGGTTGGAAAAGACCTTTAAGATCACCAAATTCAACCTTTACCCCAGCACTGCCAATACCACCACTAAACCATGCCACTGAGGGTTTTTATTTCCAGGGATGGTGATTCTACCACTTCCCTGGGCAGCCTGTTCCAGTGCTTGACAACCCTCTCTGTGAAGAAATCTTTCCTATTATCCAATCTAAACCTCCCCTGGTGCAGCTTGAGGCCATTACCTCTTGTCCTCTCGCTTGTTACGTGGGAGAAGAGACCAATCCCCATCTCACTACAACCTCCTTTCAGATAGTTAGAGAGAGCAGTAAGGTCCCCCCTGAGCCTTCTCCTCTCCAGACTAAACAACCCCAGTTCCCTCGGCTGCTTCTCATCACACTTGTGCTCCAGACCCTCCACCAGCTTTGCCTTTCTCTGGACCCACACCAGCACCTCAATGTCTCTCTTGTAGTGAGGGGACCAGAACTGAACACGGGATTTGAGGTGCAGCCTCACCACTGCCCAGTACAGGGGGATGATCACTGTCCTAGCCCTGCTGGCCACACTATTGCTGATACAGGCCAGGATGCCATTTGCCTTCTTGGCTGGCTGGGCACAAGCTGGATCATGTTCAGCTCCATCAATCAGCTCCCCCAGGTCTCTTTCCACTGAGCAGCTTTCCAGCCTTTCCCTCATCAATCAAGTGGGTCACCTTCCAGGCTTTTCCTCATCAATCAAGTGGGTCACCTTATTGTAGGAGATCAGGTTGTACAAGCAGGACCTGCCTTTCATGATCCCATGCTGACTGGGCCTGATCCCTCAATTTTCCCACATGTGCTTTATGATCTCACTCAGGATCATCTGCTCCATGACCTTCCTCAGCACTGAGCTCAGGCTGACAGGCCTGTAGTTCCCA